TTTCTGAAGATCATGTGACACTGAAGACTGGAGTAATGATGCTGAAAATTCAGCTTTGCATCACAGAAATAAATTATATTTTAAAGGATATTAAAATAGAAACCATTATTTTATATTGTAATAACATTTTGCAAGTTTTTTTCTGTATTTTTGATCAAATAAATGCAGCCTTGATGAGCAGAAGAGACTTCTTTAAAACACATTACAAGTCTTTTGACCGGTAGTGTATGTCGACAAGAAACTTGAATATTGTGCATGATCGCTGGATATACTTACATTTCTGTTATTAAACAGTTGTCACGTATTACATGTTTAGCTACTTACCTCAAGCTCACCTTCTTTGATTTGATTGGCCATTTCAGTCATTTTGACGAGAACTGCTAGATAATCATCGTATTTTTTGTTCTATTTTTAATTTTTTTAATTTTATTATTATTATTTTGGTTCTGATTCTATGTTAAGAAAAAGAAAAAAGAAATAAAAGAAAGTCAAACGAGTTTGGAAATGACATGAGTCCAATAAATAATAATGACAATTGTATTTAGGTGAACACTTTGCCCAGAGTGCAACACAATGGAAATAGATGTTAGAAAGTGTCTTTTAGGACTGTTTCAGTTCAAACAATCAATGCATCTGCTTTCTAAGGAAGCAACTTAGTGTTTTTTTTAGAATCCATGTGCATGGTAAACACAGCGAATATATATATTATATGCATGAGTTATAAATGCCTATGAAGGTTTTAGACGATACAGAACTGATAGTATTACATGCATGAATATGGTACTGTTTTGAGGTGATGTGCAACAATTTACAGTGTTACACAGGGTCAGTCATCATTGTTGTGCACTTGTTTAAGAATGTTTTAGGATACGAGTCATTGCATCTCGTGATTTTGTATTTTTATTGCGAAGCTTTATTCAAGCAGTGTACGTTTGTCAGTAGAATCTACTGTTTAACAAGTGTGATAAAGGTGTGAAATTTTAACTCCTGCACAAATCAATCAGATTGCATATTAAGGACCAATCAGATGTATTTCTTTTTGCTTGTTTTCACTGGTGCATGTTGTCATGATGCACATGAAGTGTTGGGAGCGTCCTGTGAAAGCAGACCACCAGCAGTCTTTGTGTATATAAGCTGTACAGAACGCTTGCGTTGGGTTTCACAACTTTGTAAATGTGTTATTTGAGCTAGATTACTCATTGCATCAATAAAAAGAAACAACTATGAGGAATCTATTTAATATAGCATTTGTAATTCGAGCGGTAAGTAGCTGTTGCATTAAATTGCAAATAAATTTTATGTTAGTGTAAGATTTTGTTGTGAATACTTGACAGTTCTTATGTTTACTCTCATGCACAATAAGGATAAAAGTGTCTGCTAAATGAATACATCTAAATGCAAATGCACATCTCTGATGAGACCTTGCATGCCTAAATTACATGCATGCAAGCACTTCCATATTAATAAAAGCATTTGCTTCTCAAACTGCAACTTTATTTGCATTTGCATGAACACACACACAAAAGCTCTCTGGTGCAAAAACATATATAGGGCTTAAAAGGATCAAACATAAACCATGCATTAGGTAAATACTGTAATGTTGCAATTAATTGCAAAATGGTTCGCATTAATTTTATATCAGTGTAAGATTTCTTGCATTAAAACCTTGTGAATACTTGACAATGTGTATTCATCTCATGTAAGTCATTTTGAATTAAAAGTAAAGGAATAAATCTAAATGTAAAAGCATATTACATATTTGCATATTACTTTTTAATTGTTACATTTTAACACATTTTTTCTTGTTCTTGAAAATAGAACTCTTTTAACGAGCAAAAACATTAGAGGGTAAATATGATAAAATATCAACAGCAAAATAGGAAAATAATGTGAAATATGGCATTTACTACATTTGATAAGCTTTAAATGATTTATAGTTTCACGTTAGATTTTTCTGAAAGTTTCGATACAAGTCTTGAGGTGAACTTAATACATTTAAAATTCACTTTTTTATTGTCCGGACTTTAAAAATTACAATAGAATGTCACGTATTTCTTAATTATGTGTTTATGATTTTTTTTCGAGCAGAGCGAGCGCGTTAAATAAAGCGATGTCTCCGTTCATTGCTCACTTTTTCCACTGAAACGCCTGCAGCGCCGCCGAGCGCCTCACGGGGGCGCCAGAGCCCCTCCCTCTCTGGCGGATCCGGTCAGTGTTTACGGAAGTGACGTCTGACGTGACGTGTCGTTTTCCGCACAGGCGTCCAGGAACGAAGAAAAAAAATCACGAATCTCAGGCGAGAAGCGCGCTTATAGATCATAAATGTCATAAAGATCGGCGACCAGCGCGATTGTGATCATGTGTGCGACGCCGAGGAGCGCCCGCGGCTGAGGACCGGCGCTTTAATTGACGCGAGTGCCGCGGCGAGGTTTGTTTATGTGTCGCGAGACGCCTCGGTCGGGTTAAGTGATTTATTAAGCATTCGTTAGAGTTGAATTGCCGTCGAATGAGTGTGAAGATGTCGACCAGCAGCCCCGAGGCGGTGAAGAAACTCCTGGAGAACATGCAGGCGGATCTGCGCTCTCTGTCCATGGAGTGCAAGAAGAAATTTCCTCCAGTCAAAGAGGTGCAGACACTGAGACATCAAATATACATACTGTATCTACATACGTGTGTGTGTGTGTGTGTGTGTGTGTGTGTGTGTGTGTGTCTGTGTCTCTGTGTCTGTGTCTCTGTGTGTGTGTCTCTGTGTCTGTGTCTCTGTGTCTGTGTCTCTGTGTCTGTGTCTCTGTGTGTGTGTGTTTGTGTCTGTGTGTGTGTGTGCACATATAATACACATGTGTAGACATATATCTGTATGTATATGCATGCTTGATATATGCGCGTCGTGGGAACTGTCAAGGGCTTGACTTGACTGAATGTACATGTATGCACATGTAAAATTAAGTACTGTTTTATTTATAATATATCTTAATATATAATATATAATGCAATGCACTTGTAAAAATATACAGAAATATATAAATAATTTATATATAATGTATCTTAATATTTGATAGCATAATTAGGGAATTCAGTACAATTATAATGTACATTTGGGCCTACATTTAAAAGTAGATACATTTTTATTTTAATTAAAATTGAAGTAAAATAAGATACAAATTGGCCAATATTTATTCCTATGCCACACATAAAAATCGTTTTTTAAAAAGCCACAGTGTTAAGAAAGACAGATTTATAATAGGCTACATATGTGCACATCATGTAAAAAAATATATACAAATTTAGGGCTGCCCTCGACTAAAGTTTTTTCTGGTCGACTAGTAGTCGTTCATTTTAAGCATTAGTCGACTATTAGTCGCACTTTTATTAATAAACCATATAAATCATAATAATGAGCATTTCATTGCCTACATAGCTTAATAAGTGCTCAAGCGCACGCAAAAAAAGGCTTGCCGCAGCGCACCGGCAAATATAATAATTATGAATGTGTCAGGGAAAAACAGCAAGTACACTGCATTAACGTTTTAACGTTACGCTAGTGCTTTCTGTTTTCGGTTTAAGAGATGAAGTCGGCGACACTGACTCGTCGTCTCCGCAGTATGTGCCTGTATGCATGTTTCATACGGATTACGTAAATCTGCTACAAAAATGCGTCCGGCCGGGATTTCTTAATTGCTTACACTCTACACTGTGCTAATTTGACCTTTTTTATTGCACAATATGATTGTCTATTAATTTTTTTTTACGCAATGAATTTAAAGTTGTAATAGAGGTCATAGTTTCTTATAACTAGGCAAGTTTTATTTTTTTCTGACGTGGCGCTTGAAATGTGTGTTGTTGAAGTTTGTTTGTTGTCCTTCAGAATCGTATAAAACCAATATTTCCGTCTTTAAAAATGTGATTGGAAAAAAAACGTGTTTGAAGTTGTTGTTAAATAGCTAATTAATACTTCTTAGTTAGACTAATGAACTATATTATTTATTAATATATATCTTTAAATGCTGCTATGTTATCATATACAACTTTTTTTCTTTATTCATCTGGAAATTATTACAGATGAGTGAATCTCACAGAAAGTCCAAATCATATTTCACCTCAAAATCAACAGAAGAAAAAAATGGAGTCTGTTGTATGACATTTTTTAATTTAAAATTAAATTATTGTTTTGAGCAGTCACATTTTTATGATAATTTTCTCCCATACTCTAGCACATATTCTCTATAATGTATTATTTTTACTTTAGTTTTTTTTTTTTTTTTTGTAATTTCAAATATTTTCATTAGGCCACGCGTATGTGCCTGTATGCATGTTTCATACGGATTACGTAAATCTGAGAATATGTGTTTTCTATTTGAATTGGTCCGTTTGAAAGTTTCACTCTCTATAGATATATTTTTCATGTCTGTAATAAGGCAAGCATACACGGAGTTTCGAAGTGACACGCTCAAGTTCACAGAGACCGAGACGGCAGAAAGCGCATCCTGTTTGCGTACATTATTTTACAAAAGCGCAACGTTTCATTGTTATTCTGGGTGCGCACGAATAAACGTAGAGTCTTTAGAGATACGAAAGATGCATTGCTCTTATCTGTATAACCAAAAATTAAGTATGACGAAGTGTTAGGCTAACATTAGATTGAGCTGCCATGTAAAGTTGCTACTACATTCAACCACCACCAGTGTGCAGCATCCACTTGGATGGATTTCCGTCTGTCTCTCCCTCAGGCGACTGTATTCATGATCCACGTTTAGTCAGATGCCGTTTCGCTCGCTTATAAAGCAGGGCTCAGTGTGTAACTAATGCTGTGCTGTAGGGCTGTCAAAATGGTTGAAAAACTAAAGTCGCATTTTGTAGTTAAATATTATTAAAATTCAAATTATATTCGAATTTAAAATGCATAATTTCAGTTAGGGTGAAGAAAATTTTGATTTTATTTAATTTGAATGAAATAAAACCAAGCCTCTTCTCGTCGACTAAAGGTTAGTCGACTATTAGGGGGTAACCCTATAAAAATTATACAAAAATATATTTATATATAATATATCTTAATATATAATGGTATGTTTAGGGAAATCAATAAATATGTATATTAAATATTATTAAATAAAATGTATTTAAATTAAATTTCGACAAAATTAAATTTCATTACGATTTTAATTAAAATTAGATGCAAATTGGCCAATATAAATTCCTCTACTACAATATTTTTATGTATTTGAGTGTTTGTGTGGGTTTCAGTTTATTGTCATAATAATGTGTGTATTAGACTCCCCTTAAGTCTGTATGAAAGACACATTATGACGTCATTGTTACTAGGGTTGGGTACCGAAACCCGGTACCAATATGGCACCGGTACCTATGTAACCGGTATGTACTAGAACCGA